CCCCAAAACCCCAAAACCCCAAAACCCCAAAACCCCAAAAATTCCGGAGAAATTGGGAATTTAGATTTTAGAGACAGCTCGCATGCAGTCCCTTATCATTTTTCCGAGATACATATCTTGTGATCTCCCTCTGAACGTGTACGGCCTATTGTTCATGAGCATCAAATTAAGCATGGATTGCTTGGTTCCCTCTTGTCTGTAGCCATCAATCACTTTCTCGGCTACTTCAAGATCTTGATCAAAAATAGGAGTAATCCTTTGTAACATGGGAGACAAAAGCGAGAGTTTACGTGGCAAATCTTTGCAAGGAACCCATTCGCACTCTGCTATCTCAATTTCTTGCTTCTGAATCACGTTCTCATCCTTCTTTCATGACATGAGAAACACGAAGTACAAGTCATGCGTCTTAAACAGATAGTGGGGATTCTCTCTGAACGAAATAACTCCTTCAACTTTAGCATCGACTCCAGTCTCTTCTTTAACTTCTCGAACAACAGCTTGTTCAAGAGTCTCATTTTCTTCAACTTGACCACCTGGAAGCTTCCAGAAAGGTGTGCCACCGTATGGATTCCTCTCTTGGATCAGCAGGACTTCATCATGGTCATTCAGAACAAAACCTCCAACTCCGCAATAATGAGTTGTATAGCCTGGAAGCCTGCTTTCAGTTCTTGTATCTAGCCACTTGCTCATGACCAGCACGCTTCCTTTAGTATGATGAAACTCGAACCCAAGGCTAGCTGCAGCTTCGATATAGGATGATTTCTCAATAGGAATGCTGATCCAGATAGACCTTGCCTTATTCTTGACTAATTCATCCATAAATTTGTCCATTTCATCCTCGAATGTAGCCTTTTCGTCAGGAAGAGAGTCCTGGGCAACTTTTATGCCTTTATACCTGTCAATAGTATATGTAAAGACTGTCTTAACCTCTTCAAGTTTTTCCTCTAGTTTTTTAGCCCTATCCATTTTCAATTAATATGAAATCTAGAGGGGTTTTGGGGTTTTGGGGTTTTGGGGTTTTGGGG